ACATGTCTTTCAACAAAAAACTGTGGATTCCTCCTTTCACCACGTCGCCTTCTAACCCTAGCACGACCATCGTGCATGCCTAAACAAAATCGCGACTCGTCACTAAAGACAATACTGTTCCATTCCTGATCCCAGAGTGACCGTTGTCTGCACCACTCAAGGCGATTACGTCGGTGTTCTCGAGTTAAAGGGAGGACCCAGTGTGGCCGGTATGAAAACAAGCCAAAACTTCTCATTCGTCGGTAAACACTTCGCATGCCAATAGGTCTTCCGTGTTCTGCAAACCATTCATTTGCAATGGACCTGGTAGTGGAGAAACGGTCCCTTAAGGCCAATAATCTTAGGCGGCGATCTTCACGGTCTGTTGTTCTACGGCGGCGTCCAGTGCCCCTTGCTCTTCTCGAAGCCATGCCTGACAACACCTAACCACAGTGTCTACACTTCTTTGCACTCTAACTGCAATTGCCCGAAAAGAAAGTCCAGCTTCCCGAAGTCCCACTATACGGCCCCTATCAAACTCACTAAGTTGACGAAATTGTACAGGTCTCCGTACTCTAGGCATCGTAACCGATCGTAAAGGATGTCTAGAACCAAAATCCGCCAACGTTGATTCTTTACTGTGGCTGAAATATTCATTTTTAGAGCGTTAGTGAATTAAAAAAAAGCAGTATAAAAACCGGAATGTCCAACTGATAAGGCTGAAAATTTTTTCACTTGTTATTTACAGTAAGATAAATATATTCACCAACTTTTATTAAAATAAAACCATTTAACAGGTTGACTGCCATGAAAAATCGTGGTAAATGTCTCTGGTGCCAACTTCAAAAAGGTGTAAGCTACACCGAAAACCGCTAACTTAAGCTAGGCATGTATGCCACAGCGGTCTTCTGCCATAATAATTATATGCCTATCAACGACCGCTGGCACAGCACAAAATGAATTTTGAAGGCAAGTGTGGAGCGGTCGCATACGACCGCCACGGCATGGTGGCATTATTTGCAGGCGGCCGCATGCGACCGCCATGGCATTCAACCTGTTACTGGGTGTTCGGATTTATATGTCACTTAGTATATTTATATTTGTATATTCGTATTTTTAAATAATTAGCTTTCAGTTGACAATACTGATCTTGAAGTTAAACACCGCTGAAGACGTTTAATTTTTTTTTGAAAACGCACAAAATATGCGAATATACAATATGGTACATGGAACTACTAAGTTTTGATCTCTTTAATGGTAATAATCATCTAATATATTACCGTCACATATACGTAAAATCACGTCAGCATTTGGTAATAATTCACGTAAACAATGACGTATTTTCTACGTCGCACAATGACGTCAAATTGCTGCGACATATTGCCATCATAAAGGCGTAAATATTCGTGGGTGCGTTAGTGATTTTGACGTGAACTGTGTCTTTCAAACGTGAAACTGACGTCACCTTGCTGGCTGGAGTCGCTCAGGTATTCCAGTAAATGAAATAATGGATATTTGGTGTATCGTACGAGCTGGGCGCACCCCCATCTGTCTTTATACTTGTGAACAGGCATTTATTTCTAGAAGTGCTGCTTGCATATAACCCTCCCAGCTCCTCTGACTTTTAGAAGCGCTGCTTACGTTGAAAGCAACACCCCCTCCCTTGCTTTTTTTATATTCCAACCATCACTAAATCATAGTAATTTATTTGTCCATTTTCATCCAATTGAGGAAAATTAAGTCAGGAAGGCCATTAAATCACTAAAGGATAAGATGACATCTAGTCTAGATGGCATCCCGTCCTTTATAGTCAAAGATTGTGTGGAAGTGTTTGTTGGTGTCCTAACCAGGATTTTTAATATTTGACTTATAACAAAAAGATTTCCAGATATTTGGAAGATTGCTAAGGTCTGTCCAGTGTTTAAGTGTGGGGATAAGTCAAATATTGAGAATTACAGGGCAATCTCTATATTATGCATGTTCTCGAAAGTCTTTGAAATAGTCTTGTACAGTCGCATTTACACTGCCGTCCAGCGTCAGCTGTCATTGCATCAACACGGATTTATCGCTAATCGCCCAACAACCACAAATCTATTTATAATAACGCAGTACCTCTCGGAAGCCATTGATAGTTGAGCAAGTTGACGTTATTTATACCGACTTTTCGAAGGCTTTCGATAAAATTAACCACAAAACTTTATTAAATAAGTTAGGTGCACTTGGTTTCACAGATGATGCTAGGGAGTTGATGAAATCTTACTTATCCGATCGTAGACAATTTGTTAGCTATAATGGCTTCCAATCTGAGACCTCCTTGGCACCTTCTGGAGTTCCTCAACCTGGGACCATTACTGTTTTTGATATTTATTAATGACCTCTGTGACTCAGTTGAATGTGAACGCCTATGCTTTGCTGACGACCTAAAAATTTATTCGCAGGTAAATACTCCTGATGATTGTATCAAGCTACAACACCAATTAAATTTTGTGCTGTCTTGGTGTGTAGAAAACAAGTTGGAGCTTAATGTGAGGAAGTGTAAAATAGTCAGCTATACCAGGAAAATTAATGTTTGCGAATATCCGTACTCTATTGATGGGTCTGTGCTAGAAAGATGCTCTGATGTACGTGATTTAGGTATAATCTATGATCAAAAGTTAACTTTTAGTCAGCATATAAATAAAAATGCATCAGAAGCATTGGCGGCTTATGGTTTCATAGTAAGGAATTGCAGGAATTTGCATAACATAAAGTCTATTAAGCTATTATATTATGCTTATGTTAGATCCAAAGTCGAATATTGTAGTATTATTTGGAGCCCTTACTATGAATGCTATAGCACAGCTATTGAAAGAGTACAACGGAAGTTTATGAAGTTTGTTCTGTTTAGGATTGATGGGGCATATCCAGAGAGAGGTACAAGTAATGAGGAACTATGTAGTCGCTTAGACATGTTGACTTTGAAAAAACGTAGGTACTGTGCCTCAATAATATTTGGCTACAAAATGATCAACAATTTAATTGATTGCCCCTGGATCCTGGAACAGATCAAGTTTCGTACTCCAACGTTTGCATCTCGCAATCATAAAATATTCGGGCTTCCTAGACCTAGGACAGACATTCTTCTCAAGTCACCGTTATATATAATGTGCTCTTACTTAAACAGAATTGGATGTTACTGTGATATATTTACGACAAATGTTAATTACCTGCTAAAGGCAGCTAAGGCTTATTCGGACCAATAGCTCATGTTACAAATTTATACCTGTTGCATTTGTTGTTTTCTTTTCGCTTTTTTTTTGCTTTTGTATTATGTTTATAAATTGTCCTATAAATGGGAAACTGTTGGACAATAAAGCTATTATTATTATTATTATTATTATTATTATTATTATTATTATTATCACGTATGCCTAAGGCCTAAACACCCATGGGAGATGGGGTGCGGCTATAGGGGAAAGGGGGAGGATGCACACGGATTCTAGCGAGGGAATACGTGTGAATGCAACATGCACACATTCTGGCCCCGCCTACGAAATCCGCCAGGTGGTACCTCCGCGATTGACAGTTAGATACCGTCTACCACCTACGGACAATCACAACATCCATAGCTAAGAGAAACATTTATCTTGTCTCTCTTTGAACCCGCGCAGCGCACGGTTACTGATTAGTAGACCCATGACGTCCAGCACTACGCCACCGCTGCTGCACAGATTCAATTTTCAGGAAAAAACATCTTCCATAATCTTCATTTTTTACTATTTTTCTTTCCAAATGACTTTTTTGCACTTTTTTTTTGACGGCTCCCTGGGGCTATTGCAAAAAGTATAATGTTATCCTAAACAAGTTCTTTAAGATTAATGGTCTGCACAAAACTTTCCACAAAAATTTCTTTAAAAATTCGGATAAGATTCGGATAATTTTTTTAGTATCAGGTCATCGATAGGCATAGACTTATTGAGAAAAATATTTGTTGTTTTATAAAAGAAAAAACGTATAACGCATCTTGAAAAGCTACATTATGTCGGTTTTTTGACATTATATATGTTTTTTATGACATTATCTAGGTTTTTCTACAAGATATCAATTTAGCACCAGCTGTTGTACACTTGATGTGTATTCGTTCCGTAGTTGTACGTGTTGCCTAAACGTCATGATGCTTCAGCCATCAATGTTTGGCCTTTTTGTGATCTAACATCTGCTTCAGAGATAGCATTATTGGAGGTCTAAGCTGTAAGTCGTATACTATAGCTGGAAGGAAACGGCAGTGCAAAGGTGCATAGTAAGGATTTGCGTGCTAATAATCTGTGTTGATGATGAATCCGACGGTTTCTTGTCTCAAATACACTTGAGATGTATGAAAGCTAAAAATTAGTTGCGCTTTCGCAACCTGGAAATTACATAAGCAAATTTGCTGGATTTTAAAAAAGGGAGCTATAGTAAAAAAGTTACTACATTTCGCATTATTCTTGATTTTCAGTCATTTAAATTTTACAGAAATTTATCTTACTATGTCAAGTAGAAAATACAATAAGCGCCTACAGGTGAGGCAGTGCGAAAATGTTTTATATGTGATGCTGCATTCCTAATTTTTCTGTGATGTGGCTTAATCACACACAATGCGGGTGCGTTGCTGATTTCCCGTAACGCTTCTCAAAGTTCTTGGAAAAAACGAGGGAAATCGTAATGTATAACTTTGAACATAACCTCTCTTCATAAAGGATGACACAAATGACCCGTCTGGCGCATCCAAAAGATATATTTCATGGCCAGCATATTCAGTAATAATTTTCTTACATAGCAAATATAATTGATTTTATATACATGCAGACCAATATACACAATCATCCAGAACAAAGCATGTCATTGTTGGTTTCGTGTTGTTGAATCATTCCTCCATGCATGGGCGCTTTTGATGACGCTCACAGCGCTCATAGCAAGCAAACGCGGAATGTACTATTTGCACACTAGGATCTATATAGGCAGCAAGTTGTCACTTAGTCGTTTTTTTGACGTTTTATATGTTTTTACGTAAAACCCTGCATAACCTGCATCACTCAAAGAAACGTCAATGTTCGGATCAATCACATTTTTTTTCATCTTTGCGTAAAAAAATACAACTGTTGGCTATTTTCCCTTCAGCTTAACATGAAAGCAGGTTTTTCCGTGCCAAATTCAAGTTATGTCTCTGAACAGGCTGCAAAAGCTGCTTTTCTCCGAGTACTGCGACTTTGACGACATGGTATTGATCGAGAGCCCCTTTGCTCAGACCACCAAGGATGGAACAGGAATCAGGCAGGTGCATTTAGGTCTGTACAGCCAAAACATACATATAGGTGTATACTATCGTTTTCACGAGTATCCATTACGGAAGAATAACAGCTGATTATCTAGTAACATTTCAAAATTCCCCGTATCGACAAGCGGCGCACAATTCTGACGGATCCGTCAAACACGACAGGTAGACAGTCGTATTTTGTTGTAGTGTTTTGTACGCTTCGTTTTTATTTCGTACTTGCTAACAACTCTTTTATTTAGAAAAGTTTTTTCACATGCAAAAAAAAACAGCAGATCTACATCGTCGATTCATTATTGCTAACGTTACAAGATAATACAAAGATGTCGCCTGCTAATCAGTTGTTCAGCTCAGTAGATGTCAATACGTGGTGGATACTCGTGAAATATTGCTTACACATCCTCCACAGTCCCAGCCCCAAATGCACTAGCGTTTCGCCACCCGTGCGTCGCCACTGAGAGGGGAAGAGATCCTAAAGAAAAGTTGTTAGGAAACGCTTATATGCAAGCATAATTGTCTATTTTCTTCATTGCCATTTACGGTACAGATAAACATTTAAACTCAGCACATTAATGTCAAAAAAGAGTATATATTGTATCGGTAGGTACACTTTTTATCGGTCCTCTATACACCTCCTACGGCAATGTCCATCACAGAACTAAAAAGGTCCTAAAGTAGCATTTTAGATACTTTGTGGTAGCATTTTTTTGTCAAAACAAGTAGGTAACATTTGTCAAGTAAAAGAAAAAATGCGAATTTCGAGAACATATGTAGGTACCTCAATCAATCGTTCCTTACGGCCCAAAAAATTTGTTTAACAACAGTTTTCTGAATGTGTCTCAGAAATCAAAGTTGGATAAAACCTGAGTCGAGCCAAGTAAAATATTTCATGTTTTCTAATAATCACGATTATTGGATACTCCTTGAAACAAAACGTTGCCAAGCGGTAACCCGGTGCAAATCTGTTTAAACAATTCTTCTAAAGGAATTATACAAATATGTTTTTCCACTCAAAGTTCTTTATGTTCATTGGATTATTCTAAACAAAAAAGCCTTTAGTAACTGATTGAAATATTCTCGGTCTGATAATAACGATTTTCATTTAACAAGCGTTTTTTTACACAATTCAAATGCGTTTGACTCCACGTGGTCTAACGTTTCTCCAACAACAAGATTTCTTCTTTAAGTGGAAATCTGGAAGGTTGTCAAAATATTTGCCTACGACCCTCGGGCTCGAAGCGCTATCCAGAAAGAAATTTAGTCAAATCTGGGAACAGAAGAAACTGTGAGGATACCAAACCCACATTCACATTTTGGCGTCCAATTATTCGTCCGTATTTGCTGTACCCATTTCAAGATAATCAATTAACAGAGTCCCTTTCCGGCAGGTACAATCGACTTATCTTTTTTCGCTCTGAACCAACTTCCACCCGCTGCTTCCACTGATGTTTTGTTTCTGGCATTTACTGGTGCATTCGTCTTTCAATTCTTGCTATTGAATTAGTCCAAACATGGCTGCACAGAGCTTTTTGTACCGTGTACTTTGTGCAAGACGTTTCGTATCCTTGCTTCCGAGATCTCTACGGCCTCAGCTATCTAACCTCCACGATATCGTGGACGTTTTCGTTGGTTTCACGTGGATCACCTTTGACGGACGTGCGAACACGTTTTAGTTAAGCTGCAAACTTTTTAACAGTTAAAATCAAACTCGTAATCTTTTGTTAACTTCGGTGGAATTTTACCTAGGTGCTATTTCATCCCCCACAAAAATTTTGATGACTATATCGAAGTTTATCTTAATGAAAACCACGCAAGATGTTCACTTCAAAAATTCGTGTAGACAAATTACTTGAGAGAACAAATTTAAAGTTGTGATGCCAACAAATGAAATACACTCATGCATAAATTATAAATTTACGATGATTGGAGTGCCATGTCTCTATCAGGCCGAGAACTTTTCACTGTGTGAATAGCATGTACACATTCAATGGTAACAGGTGTAGGCCAAATATCTGTCAAATAAACTGTCGAAAATTGCTGCTCCCGTGTTACGTATCTTAAAAAGTGAAATTATATACATTTTACTTCCCACACCTATTAGCGGGGAAGTATGTGTTGTGATCGCGAAAAAAACGAGATATGTTGATGACATGTACATCAAGAAAAACAATGTCACTCATTTCCGTCGGTCTGTCTGTCTGTCCGCTAATCTTATAGCCGCACAGTAACTTGAGGAGTGCCGCTCGGATTTTGATGAAATTCTTACACCATGTTACTATTACTGCAAAGTCGCAAATCGACGCAACTTCGTTTTTTGACGTTTCAGAGGAACCTGATCATTTTTAAAAAAAAAATTAGAGGTAAAAAAACTTGGGAGTGGTGCTTGTAAGGGGATGAGAAGGGTTCATCTCAATCTTCTGATGCTGCTACATTTTTACGCTCCCAACATGGTGATTCTACGCACCTATTAGACATATTTTACACATCATAGATTTATTTGTACATTTGCTCTGAAAAATATCGCGTACCGATCGGCCGCGGCAGCTGCTGGCGTCATACGCCGATCGTGATAACTGTTCTGTTATGGAATCACACGTGTTTCTGCCGAGCAACAGCATAGTGCTCTAGGCGCGCTACCAGAGTTAGGTATCGGGTAGAGGCGACGTTTCCAGATCCACTACCGGTTAGGGCAGGAAAGGGATGTCTAGAGACTGATTATATGGACCTGTTTCCTCATGGAACAGCACACTACGATGGATTCTTACAAAAACCAAGTCCAGGAATGGAAATCAGGACCCCATGTGCAAAAAGTTTACATCGGGGAGACAAAGAGACCACTTGTTGTGACGATAATGAAGCACCGACTTCACACTCAACGGGCCGAAACAGAGGAATCTGGGATAGCAGAACACGTTGGAGAGAACACTACGAAATAAACTCAAGGAGGCAAACCAGTTTGCGAACCTATCATCAACAGCTTCAAGACGCTACGGTTGGATCAACCAAGGCAGAGATTCCATGACCATCTAGCAGTCAAATCACCACCCAAAACACGTCATCACATAGTCATCGTCAGCGATAACAGTATAAATAGCCGTGGAAGGAACATCTCTGTCAGTTCACCTGAAGACGATTGAAGACAACTTGTCCATCGAAACTTTGTGATTTCAAAAATTGTATACGCAGTCCGAAATAACATTATTGAAACATCCACATTGTCTACAAATTTTAAACATGACATTTACTTCATGCTCAGTTGTAGTAGGCGCGGAACAAACCAGCGGCTACCTAGTGGACATGTTGACGTTTTACCGATTTTTTCGACATTATATTCTAATACTCTGTGGACATAGTACCACGTATTTTTAGACTCAAAATGAGTCGATTGGACATGATTTACCTCTATGCAAAGCTTAAGGGATATTAAGAACCGATAATACAATTTTAATGAAATTTGGAACATAGGTATGTACCACTATATAAATTATAGGACTGCCAAAGCATTTTTTTCATTTAGCATTTTATTTATTGAGTATTTTTGGATAGTTTTCAAGAAAAAAAAATGACTTGCATCAAGATGCTCCCAAGCGTCTTATTGATTCTTTAAGTGTAGTTATTGAAAATAAACAAGTATGGTACTACTTATTAAAATTTTATTCAATACAGGCAATAGTGCGAATCTTTCGTAACAGGTGTCCCATAAATATGACCACCTTTTTCGTTCCTGCACATAACAATATGGCGCAAAAACTATATAGTCAACGCCAAACAAAGTGGCGTGCACGTCATCAAGGTGGGTGTGTTGAAAAATTTACATTGTTGCCAAACTTTTTGTAAAATAATAAAATTTATTATTTACATATCTAGGTTTATAAGCAATATTAACCTCAAATGAGAACAAAAATAATAGTATAATAAAATTATAGATCTGTACTTGCATAATCATTAAGTATGACAATTATTGATCAGATGACACTATGAAACTACCATATTTAATTGATAGCTTAAAGGTACTGAATCAAAATCCAAATGGGGTCCTCCAAATTTTATGCATGGTATTTATTTTACAGAATTGATACAGAAAAATGCATTCTAAAATTAGGTAAGCTACTGGTGTAAGCTTTTTCTGTACAATAAAGTTAGTCGGAGTTTCTTTCTTCAGCGCTGTCTGAATCTGAATCTTCATCACTCTCAAAGTTGATTATTAAAGGTTCGATGTCTGGTCGATCAAAAATTCGTTCTCTTTCATACCATTTAAAAATTTCTTGCTCAGTATGTCGAACACTATTTTTCCACATGTCTGGGGTAGCCGTTTGTAGAGCCTCGTTCCACATATCCAAACAGTCTTTTTCACTGTTACCATCTCTACCAATATGTCTGTTATAGTAACCTTTTGCTATGGCCCAAATTAACTCAATAGGGTTAAATATACCTTGGTAAGGAGGCAGACGAAGAACTTTGTGCCCATGTTGTTCCGCCAATTCATCAATCACGTATATTTTAGGTGGTTTGTTTCTAAAAAAGCAGTTATTTTAAGAATAGGAATAAACAAAAGAAATATAAACTGTCGACCAATATATATATATAATTAAGAAGCATTATGTACCGAGCAGCAATACTCAATAGCTCTGTTTTAAACATTGTGTTTAAAAATGGTATGTTTTGATTTGTCAACCAGTCTTGGATATTTTTTTTTGTCCATGCATTGTTGGGCACTTTGTTCAATATCATGCTGTGATAAGGGGCGTTATCCAGTATAATCATAGATGGACTCTCCAATTTTTCTAATAACTGATATTGAAACCATTTCAAAAAATTGTCCTGGTTCATCTCTCCATGGTAATCGCTCAATTTTGTTTTCGAAGAAAATATCGCTTCACTACCCTCAATAAACCCATTTTCATTTCCAGCATGTAATATAATGTACCTATCTAAAATATATTAGTTTTAAATTTTATAGTGCAAATTGTGTAAACCATCTGTTTGTGTTTGTGTTTGATGTTTACCATCTGTTTTAATAGCTTTCACGCTTTTTTGGTTTCCATTTTGCCAAGAGCGACCTATGGTCCCATTTTGAAATATCCAAGTTTCATCGAGGAAGACAAACTGGTATAAGGCCTCAACCTTGGCTTGATTGTATTGCCTTAGAAATTCCACCCTTTTCAAAGCTATACTTGGTAATTCCATGAGCCCTCGTCGCGGATTTTCCTTAAGCCACTTAAATCCAAGATCTCTAAGCAACCGCCTTAAAGACGTGGCACTACCATCAAATAATGCCCTATCTCTTAATCGAGACCATAAAGTTTGTATCGTAACTTGTTCTTCTGAAACCATGTGTAATATGACATTATAATTTAGTTAACAAATTAATGCAAATTTCTGATAAGTTATTATAATAAGATCTTACTTTTGTGATACATATTATAGATCACTTCTCGAATGGCACTTGTATCCAATGTCGCTGTGTTGGTTACACGTTTAATATAACTCCGCTTTTTCTTGGGCGATTCTAAATTTGCATCACTTTTCACACCCTCGGAAATACGACTAACTGTCCTTAAACTAATTTTTAAAGCAGCAGCAACACGCTACAAAAAATGAAATAAAATTTCACTATTATTAATATACATTACATATAATTATTAGTAACCTACCTCTTGAACAGCATTTAAAGGCAACAAAGGCCCGTTGTTGTCCCTTTCTTGCTCAAAGTAGTGCATTAACGAGGCCACGAGTTCCTTACACCGACTATTTAACTGTTTGGGCATCTTTATATACCAAAATTGCCTTTATCTACTCGTAAAATGAATAATTTTGTTTTGAAACAAACAGTTGTTGATTTACAGTATGCGGGGCCAAAGGATTTATAAAGATTTGAAATGCCACAATTTGATTCAGTGTCAAAATTAATACAAATGTCAGTTCCCAGTTTAAATAAGTTTCAAGGTGACAATGTGTCAACGCTGCGAAATCGGTTTAGTGCGTTTACATGTCGATAAGTGATTGGAGCGTTTGCAAAACATTTTATTTCGCATAATGCGTCTAAATTTATCAGAAAGCAACTTATGTGATATTTTAATAACAATGTTTATATGACTATTAACCATAATAAGAGAGTAATGACCATTTTACAATTTATATATCACATTAATATGAAACTGCAATAGAGCAATTGTTTGTGATAGAAACCTAGGCATTAGGTCGGGGAATTTTTATCGTGATGACGTGCACGCCACTTTGTTTGGCGTTGACTATAGCTAATTTTCTCCAAGATGTCCTTATTTTCTTCGCAAGGATTACGATCATGGGAACGATGTGACCATTGAATAGGAGCTTCTTGACCTCTACCAATCCATCTACTATCAAATTTCTCGTATAAGTAATTTCTTACAGTACGCACAAAGTGAGGTGGAGCTCCATCATGCGTAGAAAACATGTCTCCTCTTACATTAAGAGGCTGTTCTCCTAATAAAATTTAGGTAAAACGTGTGATAGAAAATGAAGATATCTATTTCCGTCTAATTTATCCGACAACCTATATGGACCAACTAAAAAGCTACCAATGATCCCCATGCAAGCGTTAAATTTAAATTCTTATTGAAAATGTCTTCCTGAAACTGCATATTATGCAAATATTTTCCACCACGTCGGGTAAAACATGGCTCATCTGCAAACAAAATTCTTGCTCTGAGTTCTCATACATTTTGCACAAATCTCAAAATGTGAGCGACGGTCAGTTGGCAATAATTCGTGGAAAGGCTGAGCGTGAAAAGAACGAATGAGTTGTTGATTTAAAATCCCGTTAACAATGCTTTTCTGAACGCCTGCTATTTGCTTACTTATGCAGAACAAACAACAAATCAACAATCAAAAATACACTCAAACATTATTTATTAATTTAAACTTTATGAAGCTTGTTGTGAAAAATAATCTGACACTGACCTAACATTCCACACTTCCGCCACCCAGATGCCTATTAGATTTCAACACTTGATGTAATGAGACATTTTTTTAGAAACCAGCTTCGAAAAACGTTTTCTCGAAAACTATGCGAGATGGCCTGTTTTTATAGCAGACAAATGAGTTGAACAGAAGGATCTTTGAAAAAATTAATCAGGGTCGATGGGAGAGTCGCGAAAAAATTCTGACATAATCTTCTCGAATCCTTTGGGGTTTCAGTGAAAGTCAAATATTAGGACGTCTATCAAAAAACGTGTACAAAATTTCATCCAAATAGAATATGGGTTCCAAAATATCTGAAAAAATTGTTTTAAAAAGAAAACTTTGACACCCTCACTTTTTCATAGAGGTAAATCATGTCCAATCGGATTATTTTGAGTCTAAAAATACGTGGAACTTCTATGCCCATGGAATATTGGGACATCCTGTATAGGTTTTTTCACATAATAACCCTGCGTAATGGAATTTTGTGGTACACCCAATGTAAGCGTTCTAAGCCCTATGTTTCATCTTCTAGGTCTAACTCCATCAAAGCTAGTGCTAGCTACAGACGTTTTGCCACCGGTAGAGTACGTCAATGTCAAGTACACACCTGGCATTGATCCAGAGATTGAAACATTCGAACTGATCGCCATTTACCCGGTAGAATGTGTCAATCTGAGCGTGTACAAACGCAAACGAAGCCAAGCACTGAAAGCGCGCTTTTGCAACAATAAGGTATTTTTTTAATTTTACATAAATATTTTTGTATATGTATCAAGTATTATGAATATCGAAAAATTGTATCTCTCCAATAGGGCAAAACCTCGCAGAATTCTTATGGAAAATTATCAACCATATTTAAAAAACAAACTTGAACTGAAATAAATATCTAGTAGCTGTGTGAAGCTCTTGACCACAAAACAGAGTGCTTAGATTTGAAACCATATATATTTAATCAATTTGCGATCTTACATAATAATTGTTTGTCTACGTTTTCACCAAAATACGCTACTAATAGAAATTTATAAACGTGTTTTGAGTCATCACCCGTCGGGTGCCGTGTAGCTTGAATTGTCGGTTCGTTCGTCACGAAGAGATAATGCTACAAGTTAATTTTGTTCAAGGTGCTGTATTTTGAGTTAGGGGGGTTCGAGAAACGGGCTATGTTCTGGAACCTTTGGTGTGAAAGGGTAAAGTTTCTCTGTCCTGGCGATTCTGGGTCTTCGCGTTCTGAAACAAGTGTCGCAACTTCTACGACAGGTAATAGGAATAATTTATTCTTTGGATATACAAGTCAATTTATTGGATTAATAATTTTAACCAGGTCTAACTTTAAATTACGGTGGCCAAGGAGCCCGTGAGGAAGGACCGATATTCTAGAAGCTTTTCTGACTCTTTTTGGATTCAATGTGTAACCAATCCGATCCACCGAACTGCGCTGCCCACATTATCCATTTTCCAGGATATCTGTAAATAAGAAAACATCAGCCATCAGCGCCTTTATTTTGACCCTGTTGCACCCAGATCATGGAGAAAAAACTAACTTTTGTAAAGTGCTGCCCAAGTGCCCAAACCCATTTTCTCTATTATCTTGTATGTAAAGTGGTTTGAGCAGTGATCTTGCAGTATTTAAGCATTATTTTGGATCCACTATATTAATACTAGTACTACCTACGTATTGAGATAAAACACGGGTGCCCAACGTTTGAATGAGATATCAACATTCTCTCCAGGGCATTTTCTGGAAAACCTGAGAATACATCGTCAGTCATCAGAACCTGTATCTCATCCGTTCCGCTTTGTTGTAATGAAAAGAAACTCGGTATAGAGGAAGTGACGACCAACATCTTACTTTTTAAGAGTGGTTCCCAAGTGGCATCACTTGAGAACCCTGGCTACGGGTTACGGGGTTGCATATCTCTTAGGGTCAAATTTGCTATTTTCTCTAGACTCTGCTGCATTCAAAGTGAGTCAAACAGTGACTAGCATTTTTTGGATCCAGTATATTAACAGTATTGGGTATGGAAGAGACGACCATTAACTTACTGTTGAGAGGTGGTACCCAAATGGTCCCACTTGAGCATCCTGACTACGATTATTTTGACCAAGATGTGGGGCAAGAGCAAATCCTCTGCAGCTCTCATACAGCTGTGTCGCATCATGTCCAGCAGAACACTTCTGGTGAAGGAACTATTTGGAGGGGAAGAGGATTTTGCACCACACTGGGGCACGATATGCCCTGCTTCCGCCTATAGTCCATCTTCGGTGGATGGAGTGCTTTCAAGTGCGCGTTTATGTACCGAAAACATGAAGTAAGTCAATGGTAGGAGGCTAATCTGAAAAGTGCAATATAATATAGCTTACGGCTTCTTGTTGGACAACATCTATCTTCTTATTACGAGTAACATATGGTAATCACAAATTTTTGTTTGGGCAGGTAGATCTGTTTTGGAATAACTTAGTTTCTGGAAAACCTAAATGATCTCTGTGCATGCCAGTAGGGCAGTCCATGCAATTCTTTTCGTTATTTCATAAAACGATGATATATTATCGCAGCCCGTTAGTGCGTGGAAGGCTGGCAAGTGGTGCCATTTGAGCATCACTTTTTTTCAAAAGTAATATATTGTACAGAAGGTGGTCAGGGTGTCTTATGAATGTCCGCATGTTTCCACACCTAAGTTGTGCAGTCGGTTATCTACCAAAACAAAGAAATTAATGATGCACTAAGAACTCCGGACGTAAACTCGCTCCACTCTCGGAATGTCCGGGTGGAGGGTGGGCTCGAGGGAACAACATCGAAGATAAAATTTGTTTTTCGAACATCTGCGGGATCAACAGCAACATTGATGCTGTTCATCACTACCTGCAATCCAATCGTCCCGCCGTGCTTTTCTTGGCGGAGACAAAAATCTCAGAGACTGCACCGATTAACCATCTCAACTTCCCAAACTACGAGGTGCACTCCAATCTGAGAAAGAACGGGGGAGTTGTGGCTTTTGTTCGCAGCAGTCTTTCCTGCTCCAGGGATCTTTCTTTGGAATCAGACCGGAAGGACATTCTGTGGATTCGCCGCAACTCCAAAACATCACCCAAATTTATTTGCTGCCTTTATCGCTCTCCCTCGAACCATAACTGGGATGACCTACTCGAATACCTCGCCGTCCAGATCGACTTCCTGAACATCAATCACCCCGCTTCAGAGGTAGTTCTTCTCGGTGATTTCAATGCCCATAATGAGCTTTGGTTGGGCTCAAATAAGACCGATGCAGCAGGTCGTGCAGTCGAAGCGTTCGCTCTTACTCAAGGGCTGACCCAGCTGGTGACGAGCCCTACTTTTTTTTCCCCCGCGTCTCGTCACACGCCAGGATCTCTTTCTGACCACTCATCCTGCCCCTTACAGCACTGCTATCCTGTCCCCCCTGGGTAACTCAGATCACGGTGTTGTGGAGGTTAGGTTTCGGTAAGAAGCCGCTGTGGCAGCAGAAACTCGCACAGGCCGCAAAACTTGGCATTACGGACATGCCGACTGGGAGGGGCTCAGAGACTTCTTCTCTAGCTTTCCTTGGAGAGATGTCTGTTTCACTGACGCGGATGCGTCGACTGTCTGTTCTTCAATAACCAAAATTATCCACGTCGGAATGGAGGAATACGTCCCTCACACAGTGAAAGTTCCTAAACCAGGGTCCAACGGCTGGTTCAACAAATCGTTTGACACTGCTCGCCAGCAGAAGATCAAGGCCCACAGAACCTACTTACAAAACCCCACTGTAGAGAACAGACAAGCCGACGTCGAGTCCAGAAACAAATATAACGAAGCGGTTCGTAATGCCAAAAACCAGCATGATATAAAAGTTAGACACAGGGTAATGTCGCAGCGCAATGGCAGTCGGTCCTTCTGGACGCTGGCCAAGCAGATTGAAAAGAACTTCTCACACAGTAGCCTTCCACCACTTACGTGTCAGGATGGAACTATTGTATTCGACTCAAAGGCCAAGGCGGAAGTGCTATCCAAGATCTTTGCTGCCAAATCCACCATGGACGTCCCCACCAACGCCCAAGTGCCGTCAATTCAAAGGGTTCCCCACACTATGCGGGAGGTAACATTCAGGCATAAGACCGTAAGACGAGTGCTCTTGTCGCTCGACATCAACAAAGCTTCTGGTCCGGACTTGGTTCCTGCCATTGTACTGCAGCGGAGCTTGCTCCAGTTCTTTCGCTTCTCTTCCAGATATCTTATGAATCCGGCACCTTCCCAGAAAACTGGAAATTTGCTCATGTACAGCCCATCCCGAAAAAGGATCTAAGACCGACCCTTACAACTATAGGCCTATAGCTCTGCTTTCTGTTATAAGTAAAGTGATGGAGAGGTGCATAAATCGCGAGCTTCTGGACTACCTCGAACGTCACAGCTTGATTAGCGACAGGCAGTACGGTTTCCGGCACCAACGATCCACAGGGGACCTCCTAGCTTACGTCACGCAACTGTGGAGTAAACTCATCCAGTCTCATGGTGAGGCTCATGTCGTTGCTCTTGACGTCACGAAAGCGTTCGATCAGCTGTGGCACGCTGCCCTCTTAAGCAAACTTCCATCCTACGGCCTCCCAGAAAAGCTTTGCAGATGGGTGGCTGACTTTATCTCTGGCCGCAAGATATCCGTCGTAATTGACGGATTCTCCTCTTCATCCCACAACGTCAACGCGGGTGTTCCCAGGGATCGGTCTTGGCTCCAACACTGTTTCTCTTACATATCAACGACCTCCTTTCTTGCACGATCAACCCAATCCACAGCTTCGCTGATGACAGCACTCTACATGCAGGAATTCAGAGTGACAAGCCGATCTCTACCGCTGAGCTGGAAAAAAGAAGACTAGCGACGACTTCTTCTCTGACAAGAGACCTGGAGGCTATCACTGCTTGGGGACGCAACAATCTTGTACAGTTCAATGCTTCCAAAACACAGTACTGTACTTTGACGAACAAAAAGCGTCCTAGCGCTCATACAGTTTCGATGGACGGTCGAGTTCTACCAAAGAGCCATTTATTTCGGCTGGTCGGAGTCCAGATCATCGAGGACCTGATCTGGCACGGACACATCTCTTCAATAGCTGCAGCTGCTGGGAAAAAGCTAGGCTATTTGTTTAGGGCTAAGAAGTACTTTTCTCCGCATGACCTTCTCACTCTATACAAGGCCCAGATAAGGCCTAGCCTCGAGTATTGTTCACACATTTGGGGTGCTGCCGCCCCGACTACATTGTCAATGCTCGATGCTGTCCAGAGGAGGGCGGTCCGACTGATCGATGACTCTTCTCTAACAGACAGTCTCGGGACTCTTTCGCACCGGCGGGTCGTCGGCGATCTAGCTCTTTTCTATTGCTACACCAACGGGCTTTGCTCCTCAGAGTTCTCTTCCATGATGCCGCCGCGCGATGTGCCTGCCAGACAGACCCGCCTGACTTCGGCGTCCCATCCTAACCGTGTCAAACTTCGTACATCCAGAACTGGCCGATACGACCGCTCCTTTGTCCCGAGGGTGTCTAGATTGTGGAACAATCTACGGGAGGAAGCTTTTCCCAGTTTTACTAACCTTAGGCAGTTCCAAAATCGTATTAACAAAATTTCTTTGGGATCATCATAGCAGCCGCGGTGTTCCGGCATTTAGGCTTCTGCCTGCGCGGCTGTTTCGATATAAAAAAAAATTGATTGTACATTCTCCTATGGCCAGTTTCTCCCCGTTACACTAAATTGGAATGGTGCACAACTAGGCGCTATTGGCTGCTGTTTTCTCCGTATTTTATATTCTAGAAAATGCCCTTCCGGGCATTACGTTCGCATCTGATGGGAAAAATATTCTGATTAGGATTTCTTGCATAATCTCATTCAAAAAGTGCTCCTGTCAACGCTTTCTTATTTCCACACTGAGAGAAAAAAATTGAACCAAATGACGTTTTAATTAAGCCAATTAAAGAATTTAAACAACGATGTGTCAGTTAACAAGTTTAATCAGTTTAAATAAACTCAGATTTCTGAAACAGCTTACTTGAATCTATGATTTAAAATGAAAAAGCAACCGTTTATGTTCATAAAAAATTAATGAGCTATCAGAATCAGGTTACATGCTCCAAGTAAAACAACTTGATTATGTTTGTTAAATTTGTTTAATTAGGGTTGGTAAAAGTATTTGCTTAGCTTTAATGTTTCATTTATTTAGATTTAAAAGCATATTTGGACAATATTTGGGATATAAAAAAAGAATACCACATCGAGTCTATGTTAAGCACATGTTTGGAATAAATGCGCTTCAAAGACCTAAATATGGCTGCATAAAGAAATTTTCGATGTTCCTGCCACTGCAGCACTGACTAAACATTCTCATGGGTCACTAAGCGCCTTATGCTCCAGTATTTCACTTTGTCACCTTGATTGATCCACTTAGCAGCTACTACACTAACAACGACAACATTCGAATATGAAGCTCGTCATGAAAATAACAAATGAAACTGAGCAGTTCGAAGTGCGTTACCGGCACTGCGTCTGTCTCACACTATCGATCATTCACGAATAGAGGTCCGAGTTCTACGGAGTACGCGATTCAAAAAAGCAGTTTAGCTGTTTTTGATTAAATTTTTAATATACTTTCCCTCCTAGACTAAAACAATTTAATAAAACAGGTGCATGGTTTGCTATTTTTAAGCAGATTACTTTAATAGTATATTACTTTCCAAAAAATTCAGTTTAATAACGAAGAATTATTTAATTACTTAGACTAATTAAAATATTCATTACGGATAACGAAAAATTTTCAGAAAAACTGTTTCTAGAAAATATCCCGTATAATGTGAGCAATGTGGTGGGCCGGTCTTTAACTTAACACATGGGATACTATTGACATTAAATGTAAGCAAAATGTGACAGAAAAACGTAATTATGTAAATCACCAATTCGGTCGTTCGGAATATACAACACCTGTAAATCAGTCCCTTCTCTAGTGCGGCTTGGGCACCACTTCTTAAACGAAAGGTATTGATGACTACTCACTCCATGCCATTCCGGCAAAGAAAATGCCAGTGTTTTGTCGATTTTCGGATCTTAATCACATAATTGTTTGTAGGTAGTACACTGTATCTTATGGATAAGAGAGTAGTTTCTTCAAACGGGGTTAAACAGCTCTGGTACAAGTTCGGATTCAGTTTCAACAGTACCCGTCTTCCTCCAAGCATAAAAGGTAGTCAAATTAATAGGTGGACAGACAGACATTTATACCTAGGTAGGTTTTTAACACAAAGCCGTTTGTACTTAGTGCACAATAAATGTTTACGTTTTTTTTTCATATAGGTAATGAGTTCAACGGTAGCAAAGATTACATGCCAATAATGAACCACCCTTCAAAAGAAGAGTTTGTCAAACCAGCGAAAACATTGAGACCGAGGATATCTAAGCCGCTGAGTTATCTGGAAGAGAACAATTTGAACATCGGGGATACTGTACAGGTAAAGATTACATCATCATCCATTTCCAGGAAATCTGAGTTCTCTAAATTATAAAGATCAGTGCTCACAATCAATCGTGTTGTCTCAAAGATGCATAGACTTCGATTGCTAAGCTCAACCAATATTCTCTATTCCGTCTATTTCATTGTAATAATAAATTGCTATTTGATATATAGTCAGTGACATTGGAAGTGTTACACCCAGAAAAAATAATTTCTTCAAATTATTTTTTGGCAACATAATGACTATATTTAAAGCATGCTGTGGAACAATGTCAACGTTTTGTCTTTGTTTTTGTTAAAAGAGATAACATATCTCTTAGTTTTTGTGAAGAAAGCAGTTTCTGAGAGCTGAGCAGTACAGATATTTTTAGTTCTTGCCTTTTCATTTACTAGAACACAACAAAACGCCTCGGTTTCGAAGACGTCCAAATTATCACCATATCATCGACTTTGTCAATTATTGCTTGTCAATAAAATTTCGCGAGAATATTATCGCTTCATTCTTGATGTAAGACTACCTCATTGCCAAAAATCAAGGTCAAGACATTATTGTTTCTGGGTGTAACACTACGCATGTCACTGAGTATGTATAGGCCAAACCTCTAGATCCTTAAAAGGTAGAATAACCTCACACAAAAGTGATTCCAGATTGCATCCTTAGATGTGCTTTGGCATCACATCTTAACACCACAAGTCGCTCCAGAAATTAGGGCAGTGTTAAGGTTCTTGACAGAAAGGAACACCTTTCTAAACGTTTGTTCGCAGATTGTTTTGACAGATAATTGTATGAATAAAAAATCTGATGTTAAGCAACTTAGTGTCATTCATGCTTATTTATAAAACTGCGAGAAGTTGGAACGATTACATCTTTCACCTTATATCCACCCTTCACAATCATGAATACATTTGAATGAATATCAAAAATGTTTGCCTATTGCATCCTTTTTTCTCTGAATCCTAATTTTTTCACTTTAACCATGTTTATAGAGTGAAAATTATTTCATTAAAAACATTTTCATAATTGTTTTTTTTGTTTGATATCCCGAATTTTCTTCAACATGCCCTTGAACTATTATACCTATTCAATTAGTTGGTAACAGTCTGACTCACAACACATATCTTCCAGCCAATCTGTCAATCGTCAGCTAATATCAATTTTCATGCTTTTGTCCCATGCAGCACGTTGCGAAGTCGTGAAATTCTTGACACAGCTATGAGTGATTTAAAAGTTTTTAACTAATAGTATTATGGATTCAGTTTTCATCATCCTACTAAGAGCTCTCATCCCCTTTTTTAACAACACTTGGCACCAATATCAATTACTTTTGTAAGTACTTTAAGATAAATTAAGTATTTGATTGATAATAACATACTCTATCGAAAGCTTGAGAATAAAGTTTCAAGAGCTTACTTTGCAATACTTTACCGAGATTCTTCATCTAACTAGCTGTTGACGACAACGACTACGGCCTACGTTGTATATGTAAAATAACCTATACGTACTCCTAATTCCTCTGGATTATTTTAAACTCAAAAACATCCTCTAGGTTCCTCTAGCTTCCTCTGCATTTCCCTAAATACTCTAAATTCTCTATAGCTCTGTGAACTGAGCCCACAGCATATATCGTAGGTGGTTTCAGATCAACCGGTTCGGGTCGGGCGTGTACGAAGGCTGTCACACTGCTCTCTATCTCACCGTAGACGACTACAAGCTGCCTCAAAGGTATAGCCAGCTTGCGATCCAGTCAACTGGTGGGACCACGCTTAGTGGGAGCGACTTGTCCGCATTTGATTTGGAAGCTGCAGCTGAAAGTGCTTTACTCATCTGGGAATTCTACAACTGCACCGACCCCAATAAGTACAGGATAAGACATAAGAGAAGGTGAAACTCTATTTTTCGGAGGAGACATTCAAAAGGGCAACTTTGAGTCCTTTATTCCGATATTACTTTTAGCGTAACTATTATTTTTCAGATACGGACTCTCGACGCAACCCATGGTACTATACGGTCTTGGTACCTTTCAACTGTCACCAAGTAGCCGCAGTTCCCTACAGCTCAAACGAGCTGCTTCGGAAGTCTACCTCGTTGATGAATGCTCAGAATTATCAACGGAATCTTTTAAAATGCAGTTAACGTCTTCTCCCTCTTACCAGCATTTAACCTCGCAAGGCAGCGTAAGGCCAAGTATTTTGAAAAATTCTCCCAAATCTCCTGCGATGTACTTTTGGACGCCGAAGTACCGATATCGACCTAAGCCAGCCAGAGATTTTTATCTGGAGAGGCAAAAGCATCTCAAACTATTGAAAGATTTTCACGAAAGCATTGCAAAGAAACGTAACAAAAGGAAAAAGAGGTGTTTCAGAAGATGCAGAGAGACAGATGAAGAATCACTTGAAGAACTTTTTCCTAAGAAGCCTAGGAAGAAGTACAACTTTATAAATATGTTCTCAAGTAGAGTAGAGGAATTATTCGAGTTGAGCTCAAACAGAAATCCAAAAGAAACTCATACTCAATTCTTGAAGAGGATGCTAAGGATGGATTTGAGTCTAACCATTTGGGATTTCAACTCTTCAACTTTAGCAGAACAACTGACTATTATACATAAAGAGCTGTTTTTGAAAATATCTGCAGAGGAGCTAGAGTCTCTACTTCTGTGCAAGACTTCGAAATATGCGCCAAACTTACTGGCTCTGCTAACATTTTCTGAAAGAATAACGTGTTTAATAGCCACTGAGATTTTGAAAAACGATACAGAAAAAAGCAGAGCGAGGCTGATAGCCCGTTTGATAAATGTTGTACAAAAATGTCACAAGATTTCAAACTTCCAAACCTGCAAGACGATCTTAAGTGGGCTACAAAGTCCTTCTATATATAGATTGAAAGAAACCTGGGCTTATGTACGAAAAAAACATGCCTCGAAGTATAGGACATTTGAATTCCTATGCAGGCTATACCGAGACCCTAGATTGATATCTTACCAAAAGGCTTTTTATATGATTTCTTTGAATCCGCCCTTTATGCCATACATAGGTGACATATTAACAAGATTATTGAACAAGGTCCCGCAATATAGTTTCAAAGACAGAAGCAGGAGTGTCTCTCGAAAATCCAGCTACGAAACTGTTGAATCCAGCAACTTGAACCACCGATTGCAGTCAGAAGCAGCAGAGAAGAGTACTTCGCTCTTTTCAAAATTCATACAAGTTTTCCACAATCCGGAACCGAGCATGGTACAAACTTCGCTGTCAAAATCCGAGGTGGTAAAGAAAAAAATACATCGACATAGGAAAGCGTCAAAATGTAAAGGGTTATGTGAGTACTATGAGTCAAACGAATGTGAGAGGTATACTTTAGAGTCATTAGTAGAAACTGTGGAGCTCTTAGGAAAATGTCAGCTAGGTACCACTGGGTATAACTTTAAGGTAAACGAGATAGCAAATAGTTATCTACTTAAGGCAAGGTACCAGGACGATAAGGAAAATTTTATTAAGTCTTTAAGTGTAGAACCAGCAGCAAAATACCTTTAGGTAAAATAAATAAAAATTGATAAGCAACCTACTGTTTTTTTTTTGAAGTTCATATGATCAGGTAATTATCTGCTCTTGCAGAGTGGTCTGCTAGCCATTGAATAGGTCAAAACGAAATGAGATGATTAATTCTAGTTAGGTCATCAAACAGAGCTGGCAAGGTTGGCTGATTACTAAAATTTACATCAAAATATCTAAGAAATTTTCATATTTTTTTTTAATAATTATCATCAAGTAGAATTTGAACGTATGTTATTTTGTTGAGTCTTATGATTGTGAGAGCGCGATTCCTTAGATACTTTCTATTGTATTACCCGACTAAAGCATAAGGTTTATTTTTCCGTTGAGGATATTACGGAACTCTTCAGCCGACCTAGGTGCTGGTGGTTTGTTGGCTCTGATTATTTTTGTTCGTACTATTCGTCATTTATTTGTCTGTGCGGTCCGTAGGACCTTTGCCCATTAGTTACCGTCTAATGTACGTTAGTCGAATCTGCCAGTCCTGGTTGTCCAGAAATCAGACAGTGTCAAGGAATAACAGAAAGGCAAAGATAAGAAGAGGAAAGAAAAACAGAAGTTTAAGAGGAAACACCTAGCTTTTTTGACTTGGTATATGGATTAATTTTGATTCAGGTTTTGTTAAAGTGTAATTTTGAGCTTCCTGAGAGTTCGTGCTAACTTTTGATTACAGAGCGAGTCGTGACCTTGATTGTTTACGAACTTGCTCCACTTTGTAGTCCACTGAGTCACACAATAGAGGGTTGCTATGCGATTCCGCTTGACTATAACTTCGCTGCGCCTGAAGCTTGACAGAATCCCTCAAGTAAGGAATGTCAAGGTCTCATTTGAGAGATACCATGGAGCGTTGCAAATTACTCGCAAAGGAGGTGGACTGATAAGAGCCATATGACATATTTATTTATGAAGAGTATATATACTCCATAACAAAGAAGAAAACATACTTATTTCAAACAAAAACTGAAATTCGTGGTATACATAAATTACGTAATTATCTGAGTGTTATGTATGTTCATTAAACAATAATAAAAGATAATCAATTTTCATACAATATATTTTTTACTAATCTTCTTCCTTGTCTTCTTCATTCGAATCACTATCAGACCATCCTACAGTATCATCAGAGGTATTTGTTGTATCATCAGAACTCTTGTTGTCCTTACATAAGATGAAGTGGAAGTCTTTTGAGATTAAGCCACGCAGAATGCATATGATCTGCAATTAGGACACAACTTAGGACCAATCTACAGATCACAGTTTTTAGATTTTCTATGCTATAATGTTTTTGTTCGAGCACCTACCTACGGAAATCACTGTTTGTTTTTCGCCACGTTTTACAACAATCCTACTAATTTTAACATATTCGTCTGTTTTGATCTGTATTTTTAAACATATAACTTTATTTGGTATTTTTGTATCTTGTCGAAATTCATTTTTTGCATTTTAAAGCATTTTGCTCAGGATATCAGAATTCCCCTAATCTCACTGTTGTCCGGAAGTCGTGACGACATCACGGATTTAAATCACTCATATGAGAAAGTAACGATACCAGATATCGCACATATTCAAAAATAACCATCTGCCTAGAAATATTGCTACTGGTATTGGACCATCCTGTATATCTACTCATGTCACACTTGATTCCCTACTATAAAGTCAGCACTATCAACAAGCGGTCGATATGAAAATATGTACCCACCCACCGTGCAGCAGTAACTTACGCTGCAAAATTCTAGAAGTAATCCTGCAAAGATTCAGTTGCGGTTCCTGCTTCAGCTGCGACGTCACGGAGTGAGATGCGGAGTAAACAGTATTTTACATATTCATGTATGCAACTGATGCTACCATCACTGCTGGCTGCTCCGAAATAGTACTCATATAGTCCGTCTGTGCAGGACAGTGAACGCAATATGCTTATCAAACGATGGAGAAATGATCAGATGAAATTATTCTCCTGGGAATAGGTACCTTTTCTTGCGAATTGTGTGTGACCTCCTAGCTTACGTCACACAACTATGGAGTAAGCTTATCCAGTCACGTCGTTGCTCTTGATACCATGAAAGCTCTCGACTAGCTGTAAATGCCGCCGTCTTAAGCAATCTTTCATCCTATGGCCTCCCAGAGAAGCTTTGCAGATTGGTGGCTGACTTCTCTGGCCACCCTATCTTCGTTGTAATGTACCGGTACTTCTGTATGATCAATCCGATCCAAAGCTTTTCTGACGATAACACTCTACATGCAGGCATTCAGTGCCACTGGTCAGCTGGAGGATAGAAGACTAGTCTTTTATATGAAAGATTGGACGAAATACTTCCTAGTTTTTCAATATCAAGAGGCTCTCTTATAGATCATGACTCCTTCATCAAAATTCGAGTAACACTTTCTGAATTATGAAGGTATAGGATAACGTGATAGCCAAAAAACTAGACAGAAAAATTTTCCAAAAAAGTGATATCAACTAGATTCTATACTTTGAAACAATTACTAGTACAATGTTCCATTAGGGCACTATTTTTGATTTTAAATATTAAATTAAATAAAAACTGTTTCTCAGCAATGTTTGGTAACTGATTGTAATAGCTCTTGATACTATAACTCTTAGTTACTAGTCAAAATAAATTTTACGCAAGGTCAATCTGACCCTCCCATAAAACAATATATATTTTTGAACAATTAATAATCTTGAAATAAAAAACACCATTTGAGAAGACGATATATTTTGTAATAAAATCGCACAACTTTAATTATTTACTGAACAGTTTGGACATACAATAATTGAACAAGTGTTGCAAATTGGTATTGTATGAAAATATAGTTTTCAAAGTTGACAGCGTCTCATAGGTCTACGAGTAGAAACCAAAAAATATATACATACATTATTATCTCAGGAAATCAAGTCACCTCATTAAATTTCACTCCATATTTACAACTCCGTGGCGCACTGCAAGTACGCAAAAAGTTGCAGTTTTAAGTTTATGATGTGTGAAATGTGTCTAATAGGTACGTAGGAATTCCGGAGTATGAAGTGTTAATATACTTCCATCAAAAACTTGCGATACACGTCGTCTTTCGGATAGTCATAATCTTGAGTAAAAATATCATCCAAATCTAGGCAGTACTTTTCAAGCTATGGACGGCCCAAGGATTAGCGGATAAGTAGACAGATCGACAAACAGACCGACGGAAATGAGTGACATGTCTTCTTTGTGATTTACATGTCATACAACGTCCAAAAAACTAATATCCCATTTACGAAATTTCTCGCTATTACAATAATGACCTGGTAACATGACAACATCTGCACCTAGATCACCACCTCTACTACTTTTCGCAATATCATCCACTCAAGCTTTGTACCCTGATTACTGGCGATGATGGTCCCTGTGCAAGTTGTATTTCACCCGGCACTTATGAATCTTACAACACCTCATTCGGCAGACACCATCTAAAATATTATCTCGTTACATGAATTATAGATAGACAGTAGTGGTGGAGGGCAAACACTCTGACACAGTGGTGGTGTTTCAGTTTTATTTTCTGTATGCAGTTGGAGAAAGCCTAATTCACAACATTTAGGTCCCATTGGACAATTTAGAAGTCCTTCCCATAGATTGCTCAAGGCTGGACCATCAACAGCTTCATTGAAGAAAAAAAAAGGTGGTGTTACGAACCTGGGGAAAATTTCCTTAAATACATGGTGTCCCATTTTAATCTCCCTACCTACATATTTAGAAAACTATGCTTCCTAGAAACGTGGTTCTGAAAAGAGTTGCGACGCAGTAAAATGATAGTGATCTTGACGATGACCTTCATCAAAACCTGCTAGGTCATTAAGTTGAAAAACGCTTTTTAGCGATCCTTCGCCTTTTTATAGTTTGTATAAATGAAGCCGGATTATTATTATTATTATTATTATTATTATTTCAAGGTCAAGCGAATATTTTCAAATGGAGCTCTGCCTTTTTTTACACCGAAATTGGAAAGAGGAAGAAATTCTCTACGTCCGAATATGACCATGACGATGACCATAACCATGACCTCCAGCAAAAATGCTCAACAGCACAGTTGTGAGGTTTGTGAAGATCACCCAAGGGCGATCTTGACCATATCCTTGGCCATGACATTCAAGATCAAGTCAAAGTTTTGAAAGGAAACCCCTCATTTATATCCTGCGATTGGAAAAATCAGGAAGTCTTACATCCGAGTATCACCTTGAACACAAAGACCAGGTTATTCCAATCTCAAATGTTATTTGTAAGGCAACCCGTTGATTTTTATGCCAAAATTGCAAAGCAAGACATTTTACGTTTAACGTGATGGTTATAGTCATCCTCAAGGTCACCTTTGGGTGACCTCCACAAAGCTGACAGCTTTGCTGCCGAATATTTGTGCTAGAGCAAATTGTTTCGATGTCTTTTTCGACCATGAAATGGAATCGAAGATCATGGTGATGGTCATAGTCAAGATTATATTCGTACGTTCGAAACGACCTTAGAGGTCGAGGTCAGGGTCATAGTGAGGGTCACCATCATTTAACGCCCTCGAAACCCTACAGCTTTTATTTGAAACTTTTCTTAGGATGCGTAGTTTTTGAAATATAAATATAGGTCGGGATGTTAAAATGGGACACCTGTATATCTGGATCGGTTCGAAACGAGTCGTTCCAAAGGAACGATGTCGCACAGCGAATTAAAGGAAACAATTTCGATCATCTCGCAGAAATAGATTGAGGTGGTTTCAATGTCACTTAAATGTTAAAATCGCCAAGGATAAAATCAAGAGTGAAGTCGTACTTAACAAAGCTAAAGAATATGTGAAAGAAGGTTTAGAGATGTAGATTAAAGCAAACTGCAGAACATTTCAGGCAGTAAAACTGTGTCAAACGCAAACAGTAGCAGGGGAAGTGTAAACGTACCCCAGAACCGAACAACAAGTGACTCAAGTTCAAGTGTGAACCTACTGCCAAAGAAATGTCATAAGTCCATTTAATACAAAATTTCCGATATGACATCGAAAACTCTATAAAATTTTCAAAA